TTTTGGTTTACGCGGTCAGCCATATGGCAACATATGGCAAACCAAGAGGCTTCTGTGTGTAAGCCATGCGGCGTTTTGTTTTCGAAGACAATACAGTGCCGCCTGACAAATAACATCGGCAACCATACATTAAAATATGTGGTTTCATGCGGTACAGGTTATGGTTGCATGTGGCGCGTAACATGGAGATCCGTACACCACAAGGTAGCATGCGGTTGCATTACACACTGCGCATGGCAACTCGTGCGTAACTGATAATGCGGGGCATACGATAAACCGTAAGAGACCGTGTTGTACGCATAATGTCTTACATGGTAAATAAGACGGCCCAAGGTGCACACCGTATGGCTTCGATTGGTACACCATATGAGTTATCGCTCTAAACCGCGTTGACAAATACGAGAAATCCAAAGGCCGACCCGGAAACCATGTGGTTTCAAAAAGTATACCATCTGGTTTCACACTGTACCTCATCCTGTTTGGCACACGAAGTAACTCATATCTTTCAAAAGGTGCGCCATGTAGCTCGATGTGGCGAGCCAAGTGGCAACTCGAAGACCCTATACGTTCAACCACATGGCTCCACTTGGAGCCCGTACTATATCTCATGGCAAAGCATGTGGTTTCAGATCGTCTTATTTTGCAAGTCATAGGGGCTGCGAGTCATACGCGCAAGGTGTACCATCTGGTTGCATAGTGTACCTTATATGGTCGAGTATAGTAACCCGTATCGTTCACACGGTACACCATGTAACCCCAGATAGCAGACCAAATAATAATTCAAAAGCATCATACGTTCAACGTCATGGTCGCAATTGAAACCCGTCCGCTTTCATATGGCATGGCATGTGGTTTCAAAGGGTTCATTTTGCGAGCGCATTGTTGCACATGTGTTCGCATAGTGTGTCGCGTGGTATATGGGCCCACATTTGGAACAGTGGCTGCAAATGGTAAACCACATGGCCTCTGTTTGTAAACCATATGGCTCCACATTGTAATCATCACGGTTGCACTGTGCATACCACATGGCTTCATCCTGTAGTTGATGTGGCTTCGTTGTATGGCTTCATATGGTGAGCCATCTAGCTTTATACGGTAAGCTATGTACGATAGACGTGTCAGTCATATGACGACTTCCGAGTGTAAATCCTACTAGGGTTCCATGATGGCAACCGTTCAACAAGTAACACACAACACACACGCACTCAAACCAAACCTCCTTCACTAGCCGTGATGTGGGTGACGGAGAAAGGAGCAGGACAATGAGGAACACCATGGATGATGATGAGGAGGATTTAGAAGAATAAGTTGGGGGATTGAGGAGGATGGAGGATGGATGGATGGAGTGAAAGAGGGACGAGAGAGCAACAGGAGGGAAGCGCCAGATGCCTCCGGCTGCCGCGGCGGCGGCGCCGCCGCCGGCTCCTCGACCCCCCCGGGCGAGAGAACGGGGAGGCAGGGGAGGAGGAGGATGGAGGGCGAGCTCGGCTTCGCTTGGATGCTCATGCTTGGGACCGTCCTGGAGACACTCGCTCCACTCTTGCGTCGAAGCTGCGTCGAACGTTCCCGTCGATGTGAGCCGACCCTGACTCGAACCCGAGCCGAAGTTGTGTCGAGCTTGAGTCGAACTTGAGTCGAACTGGGGTCGACGTGGAATCGAGCAGCTCTGCCAGGTGGGCCCCCGGGAGGTCCCCCAAGCCGAGCACCCAACACTTCGCGCTCCAGGGGCGAAGGGCAGAAGAGGCGGGCCGACCCCAGGGAGGCTCCGAGGGCCTCCGGCCTTCGGGGACGCAGGTCTTCCGAGCCGTCTCCCAGAAGGCCGGCGGGCATGCGAGAGGCCCCGCCGTCCTCTCAGGAGGCCTGCCGCCTCTCGCGAGCCCCCCTCGGCGAGCCGCCGACGAGAGGGGGCGAGGAGTCTGCTTAGAGGGCCGCTCGATCCGCATACGCAGTCACACGTCCTCAGCAGGCGGAGGACGTAGATGTCGTTCATGTCCAATCGTGCTCATGACTAGTTGCGCTCGTTGGTAATTGCTCCTGGCCCCCTAGCGGCCAGGAAGAGGCCCAGGATAGCAGAATTAGAAATGAAAGGATCTTGGCCCCCCAGACAATCCAAGAACCCTCGAAGAATTAGAGAAGAACAACGTGTGAGGCGCAAGACTATGCCGAATCCGCTTATGCCGACACGCCGAGGAGGGCCAGGAGGAGACTTCAGCGGCGTTTGGCGGTCTGCGGCGGTCTCCCGTTCAGAAGATGGACGGCTGCGGGTGACAAGGGGGCCGTGTTCGAGCGTCCAGGAGGAGGAGGAGGAGGAGGAGGAGGAGGAGGAGGCACAGCAGGAAGAGGAGGGGGAGGATGGGCACCAGTAGCGCCAGGGGGAGCGAGATGGGGGAAGGGTCAGGGGGATGGGGAGGGGAGGGGACGGTGGAGAAGGAGTAGGACGCTGCTTTTTGACCGTCTGTGGCAAGAGGATGAATAAGAAGAGGAGGCGAAGGTGGCGGAGGGCAAGGAGCTCATCAGATGTCGGCTGATTTCTGGAATCTTCTCATAATTACTTATCGAGGCTGTTTCATGATCCTGTTGCTTCCAGAAGGCTTCGTTCGACGGTTCCGCCAAGCTCCTGGGTGCGAGTGCGACATGCAAGCTGTGCCCCCCTCCTCTCCGACCTCTCTCTCTGCCCTTCCTCCCGCCACTCCTCCAGCCGTGCCCCCACCCACTACACATGCAGTTTCCCAAGGAGTCAGCAGGAATAAAAATGATAAGGAGGAGGAGAGGGAGGAGCAGCAGGACCGTGGAGGAGGAGAGCGAAGGACGAGGAGCCTCGGCAGAGCTGAGAGCGAAGGAGGAGGAACATGATGAAGAATGAAGGGGCCCCAGGACACACAAATAAATACACACAAATAAAATGATTCCCCATATTTTCTTATATTTTCTAGGCTTCTGTCTTCCCCCCCACTTCCCATATTTTCCCATATTTTCTTGGGAATCGAGGATTAATTGTGTCTGTGTGTTTCTTTCCCTCCTGAAAGAAAAGGACCCGGGGGATGGAGGAGGTGTACGCCGCCCCAGCCTGCGGAAGCATCGATCGGGCGGGAACGCCCCGCGCATCAGAACACCGGCAACTGTTCGATCGGCGGCGCCTTGGCTCCAAATTGCAGTCGGGTCTCGCGGCAGGGCTGCGAAGGAAAAACGCTAGAAACTTAAACTTTTGGCGCTCCGCGCGGATTTCTTGGATCTGAGCCAAACCCCCCTCCCTGGCGCGCGGAGCGCGCCAGGGGCGGCGCCGGAGGCGCCGCCACGGGGGGGGGGGGCCAGCGCGGATCTAAGAAATCCGCGCGGAGCGCCAAAAGTTTATGTTTATAGCGTTTTTCCTTCTTCGATTGGGTGCGAGTCAGGCACTAAGGCGGCAAGGCTCAAAAGGACGGGGAGGAGGGCCGCCGCAGCGCCCTCCGAACGTGAAGAAACACTTCGGTGTGTGTGTGTGTGCCGGCGGCAGGCTCGGGCCCCTGTGGCTGTCAGTGCGTCTTGTGCGTCAGCTGTCAGAGAGCTGGAAACACAGGGCTGGACCTAAACGTTGTGTTTCGTTTTGTCTTCGATGTGTGTTTCGTTTTGCTCGGCCTGCTTTCCTGTGCCTCCCTGCCAGAACGAGGAACAAAGCACAGCCGAAGTCCAGCAAAACGGCGTTTAGGTCCAGCCCTGTGGAAACAGACGTGGCGGGATCCGCATGCGGGACATCTGGAGGGGACGCGCACTCGTGCCACACACGCTAGACAAGCGCGCTCCAATGCTCGCAAAGTGCTCGCAAATGGCCTGGATCCGCCGCGGGGGATTTCCGACACCTTGCATAGAGAAATACATATGTTCTCGGACGCTTGCGAGTAGGCACTTCGCGAGCAAAGGAACGCGCTCGGTGACACGCGGAAGCCCAGCGTATGCCCCGCCACTTCCGTTCCGGTTGCCGTAGCGACACCTGGCCACATGCGCACGGCCAGGAACTCTTGCTCCCCGTGTCGCGGCGGCGGCCCCAGCGACACGGCTGATCACGCCGTAGAGGCAGATCGCGTGTCGCTCTGCTCCGCGGGGCGAGAAGCTTCGAGAGGCCCGGGACGTTGATGCTCGGGGGCCGGGGCGCGGATAGCGTGCCGTGCCGAAGCGCAGTGGGCCAGAACTTGCGGCGCGACACGCTGAGCCAGAGTTTCTGACCGTATCCAGCTCTCGCCGAGGCCGGCCGCGTCACGTACAGTGTGGGCGCGGCCGCAAGAAACCCTCGCAAGAAACCCAGCCCTGAGAACCCGCGCGCGAGGCGCACCTGAGGGGAAACCTGGAGCACCCCGAACGCAGCAGCTCCTCTGACGGCTGCGAGAAGTCACCGCGCAGCGCGAGGAGCGAAGGAACCCAGGATACCGTGGCGAAAAGCATATGGCTTCTTGATGCGCGCCCCCACTGCACGCGCGGACCGAAAGTCTCAACCTCAGCCCTGCTCGCAGAGGCGAGGTCGGGGAGCACGAAGGATTGAACCCCCCGGGCCCCAGATCTGGCCGGAGCCGGTGCTTTCCCCCAACACGCCGACCACGGCATCACTTTTGTTTTGGATGCCATGAAGATGGACACTCAAACAATCAAATCCTTGAATTAAAGATGTGTTTAACATGTGTAAAACATGTTCTAAACATGTGTCAAACATGTTTACATATGTAGAACATGTTTGAAACATTTTGGCAGCATGCTTCCTCCCCATTGATCGTCCTCCACAACACTTCTGTACATCTAGCCAATTGGGAATCCGGCCGTCGCTGATATGTCTCCAGCTTCTTCGCACAAGGAACGAGAGGCGCACCGAGCATACCAAGTGGACAAGACCGCGCTGATGAGCTGGTGGGCGAATGGGGTGATCAACAGATGAGCCCATAGGATGAGATGCCGATCTAATTTTATGATCAGGGCGTGGAAGGCAAAAACGGAGATTGTAAACGACCGACATGCCGCTTGTTGGCTCGAAGTCGCTAGTACGGCACGTCGCACTCTTCACCATAACAATAAATGCATTCCTCGGACTTGACTTCGCACTCCTCCTCGAAGCTGCATTGTGCGATGTGCACAAAATCCGAAACAAGCCGAACATGGGCCCTACTTCTACATGTCACGGTATACTCGTGGCCGTCGAACGTAACACCATCCTCGAGAATCTCGAAGCGATCCACAAGACGACACACTGCAACCTCTGCACAGTCGTCTTCAACCAAATGTAAGGAGCTGCTTTCATCCAGCGTGCCCGCGTCCTTCATCCTCAAAGGGTTCAGAAAAATACGACCGCCGGGTGGCGTGTTTCTTGTTGACCATGTCGCTTGTACAGCGACAACTTTTCCAGCGCCCCAAGCGCGACCGTTTACAGGGTGCATCAGCCTATAAATTGCCAACTGTTTCTCTTCCACTGCGCCTTCGAATAGCGCATCGTGCCGGCGCACAAAAAAATTGTTCAAAGCATCACGTCCAAGCCAATTGTCGTCATCCGTGTCCATCTCGATGTTGAAAATACTTCCGAAACCTGGAATGTTGACGTCGTCTTTAACTACGTCGTTCAAAAAGTCATCACGTGGAGGCGCGGAAGAAAACTTTACACTTGTCCCTGCTTTTGCTCCCTTTGCGACCACCTCAGAGTATGCCCAAACGAGAAGCTTGAAATCCTCGGCTGAGCCACCCGGCACATCAGGATGAACAGACTTGGCCTCATTACGGAAAGCTCGGCGAACGTCTGCAAGCAGTAGTTCCCTACGTCCATGTGGATTTGGCGGGGGCAGACCTAGAACATCCCATGGAGTTCTGGCTGGCCGAATTGGCAATCCACATGCACCTACACAATTGCAGCGTATGCGATCAAAATGCTTGGAGCATGCTAGCAAAGACTTTCGGCTGATCACAAAGGCCAGCGGGCGCAATGAAAACATCATTGACACCATCGCAGCCGTCATGACTGCCACCACTCCTCTCATCGTCAAGAGGCGTGCTGCAAGCTGCGTGCGCATATCCTTCTGTCACCACTCGCGTCCGGCCACCTGCCAGAGGCGTCGCCTGGGAATGGGGATCAAATCGGCCGATCATTGACACCAACCAGGTGGAGAAAACCTCACACCCACCCAAACCCCCAGCAATTTCATGGAGCCAAAATTGATACGGAATATGGAAGGAGACGATGGGATGAGGGGCTGAAGACTGCACTCGTACAGACTGATAGGATGCCGGGACGATAGGATGATGGTCTTGGGCTGCCAGGCTGACGAACAGGAATTAGGATGCAACTTCTGGGAGGTCTTCGCCGGCAAAATGAAAGAGGATTCAGCCCCATTGGGGGGGGCTGTTACGCTGGAGTGGGCTTCGGATTAAGCCGGATTGAGCGGGATTGAGCGGGATGAACCCGGATTAAGCGGGATTAAGACGGACTTCGGACCAGGGCAAGATCAGACTTTGACCTCCCTGGAGCTGCGCCCGAACAAGGAGGTCCAACTGCGAGGAAGCCGGAGGCGCACGAGGCGAGCGTGCCCCCGGCGCTGGCCCGCCGGGACGGCGAGCTCCGAGAAGGCCCCAGGCGAGAGCCGCCCGCCGGCGAGGCCACAGCACCCTCCGCTCCGCCCACCGGCGTGGCAGGAGAGCGGGGGAAGCCTCGCGGGCGGAAGCCGCGCGCCGACGAGGCGAGCGTGCCCCCCCCCCCAGCGCCGCCCCCGGAGGAGGCAGGAGTGCGGGGAAGCCTCGGGGGGGGAGCCGCGCGCCGACGAGGTGGAGCACCGCCCCACCGCTGCCCCAGAAGGTGGGAGGATGGAGAGGAAGGCTCGAGGCGGGAGCCACCTGCCGAGGAGGCGGGAGCACCGTCCGTGCCACCTCCCGTCGAGGGCGCCGGATCGTGAGGGAGCCTCGCCTCCCAGCCGGGGCCTCAAAGGCGGGGCCCTGAGACACGGGGCCGTAAGGCCAGGCGCCTCGAGCACTGCAAGCTCAACCTGGAAGCCCCTTCCATAACATCGACCTCCAGGGCTCTCGACCAATTCCCAGGGACCGGCATTTCATCCTGAGTACAGTCGGGGCGTTGACCTAAGGAACCCTAAATAAGGAACGAGGCCCCTTTTTTCCATAAGTTACCCTTCGACTTCCTGTCGAAAACATAAGGAAAGCCTGAGGCAAGCTGTGAAACACTTGAGGAACGCGGAGCCCCTCCCCAACGAAAAGGGTTCCTTCTTCAGCGCCCCGACTGTATTTCATCCTGAGTAGTGTTTTGACGGCCCCGAGGCCCAGTCGGAGCACCCAGAGGCTGAACATGACAGAACATCGTCCGTCGTCATTGTGTCTGTCTCGAGGGCCACGGGCGGCGCCCCCAACGCACCTTCCCCGGGCGCCCCCGCGAGGGCTGCCGGCCCGTGCGGAGGCAGAGCCGAACTCTGCCAGCACGCGCGTCGGCTGTCGGTCGGGCGGCCGGCAAAGCACGGGGCAATAAGTGCCTACAATCGGGGCGTTGACCTAAGGAACCCTAAATGAGGAACGAGGCCCCTTTTTTTCCATAAGTTAAATTTGATTCCCCATCGAAAATCTGGGGAAAATCTTTGGGGGCCAGCTAGGGGTTCCCGTGTTTTTGGGAGCTCCCTCGGGGGCAGCTCGAGGCCATTTCGGCATACCTTCGGAACTCTTAGTGTCGTTTTTGGGGAGTCTTGGAGCGGGATTGGGCCATCTTGAAGCCATTTGGAAGCCGTCTTGGAAGCCATCCATTCGGAAGCCATTTGGGGCAGTATGTTGGACGTTCTTGGAGGCGCCTGGAAGGGGCAAGTCGCGATAGCAACAGGGTTGGACTGGGAGTCCCCATTCTTTTCTCACTTCTGGGCTCCCTCCTGGGACCTCCCTCGCGCCCACTGAATTGTGTTGAGCGGCCTCGTGGGGGGTGCTCGAGCCCTTCTCGAGCCGCCTGGAAGGGCGTCTTTGCCATGCTCCGAGGCCTGCCCGCCCCGCGGGGCAGCACGAAGGCCACCGCCACCCGCTCTTGCGCGTGGCTCCCGCCCGAGGGCTCTGTGGCTCTGGCACCAGACCACCTTGGGGTCTGGCGTCCACCGGGGCCAGGCGCGTCGGCTGTCGGTCGGGCGGCCGGCAAAGCACGGGGCAAGAAGCGCGGGGTGAAGAAAGGAGCGCGCCCGGGGCCCCAAAGGGCCCCTCGGAGGGGCCCCATGGGCCCCTGTAGGCCCAAAGGGCCCCTTCAGGGCCACTTCCCCTCTACATGTATTGCCCCAGCGTTGCCGTCTGGTGGCGCCTCCGGGGCCGCCCCTGGCGCGCTGCGCGCGCCAGGGAGGGGGTCCAGCGCCGATCCAGGAAATCAGCGCGGAGCTCCAAAAGTCTATGTTTATGTCATGGGTTGTTCCTCGAGGCCCCTGGGGTGAAGAAAGAAGCACGCCAGGGCCCCTTACGCGCCCCTCTGTGGGCCCCAGGGGCCCCTGCAGGGGCTTTTCAGGTCCCCTTGAGGGCCACCTTCCTTTTTACGCATACGGCTGCGGACTTTGGCTTAGCGTGTTTCTCCGACGGCTATGGCACACCGCGCTTTGGAGCGACACGCTAGCCACTTCGCGGTCCCGAGGCGACACCGTCCCGAGCCTTTTCGAACCTCCCGCCCCGCGGAGCGGAGCGACGCGCTATCCGCTCGCAGGGTATAGCTCATCGCAGGGGCCGGCGCGGCGACGCGCTATCCAAAAGTTCCCGGCCGCATTGCCCCACCGCTGCCGCCCACCCGATGCAGTCCACGCCACGCCTCGCCGCGGGCTTGTGCCCGTCGAAGGGCTCTCTCAACGCCCGAAGGCCCATCCCCGAGGGGCAGCTCGCAAGTGCAGAGGCGGGCGGCTCCGCCCGTCCTGGCCAGGCAGCTCGCGCCCAAGGCTTCCTCCCACGACGACGAACGACGACGACCATGTCGAAGGCGCTCTCCCGCCCGCATCCTCCGCACGAGCTGGCGGCCTCTATAGAGGGGGCACCGCAGACGGGCGCTCTTGCCTCGTCATGAGACAATCACAACGGGAGGCTCCTCGCTGTGTTCAGCCTCTGGGGACCCTGACTCGGCCTCGGGACCGTCCAAATCATTAACGATGTGATCTCAGGATGAGAATCCCACCAGCCCTCTGGGCGTAGGTGGTTTAGGGAGCTTCCTCTTCCAACCCCCTTTCTTCCCCCTCGGGGAGGGGGGTACCCCTCCCCCTACCCCCTCCCCTGGACCTGGACGGGACGTTTCGCTGGCTGGTAGTTGGAGCGTCCAAGATGGCCCAAGATGGCTCCAAGAGCGCCTCGGGGAGCCCAACATGAGCTCCAAGATTGCTCAAGCTAGCCTCAGGTGCCTCAAGATGGCTCCGATGATGCTCCAATAGGCCCGAAGACCGCCCCAAGACGGCTCCAAGAGGCCAACTAGCTTTCCCAGGAGGCCTCCAAGAGGCCAAAATCCTTCAAAAACCTAAGGGACATCAATGTGTTTTGCTTTCTCGCCTTTTCGCTTCCGATGGCCTTCCGAGGCCTCAAGATGGCTCCAAGAGGGCCCAATATAGCCCCAATAGGAGCCCAAGATGGCCTCAAGACGGCCCCAAGAACGCCCAAGAGCGCTCCAAGAGCGCTCCAAGATGAGCCCAAGAGGCGATTTTAGAGGATCTAGAGAGGCAAGGCTAATTAACCCCACCCTCTTCTTTGATCGATCGCCTCCAAGATGGCCCCAAGAGGCGCCCTGGAGGCCCCAAGAGGCGCCAAGATGGCCCCAAGATGGCCCCAAGAGGTCCCCAAGAGGCTCCCCGAGGCACCCAAGACGCCCCAAGAGGCCTCCGGGACCGCCAAAACGCTCCCAAGACGCCCTAAGAGGCCTTCGGGACGCTCCCAAGAGACATCCGAACAGACCCCGAGAGGCATCCAACAGGCCTTTGGCCATTCTGCTCGCCCTTCTCCTCATCCTCCTCCTCATTATCGTCCTGCTCCTCCTCCTCCTCCTCCTCCTCCTCCTCCTCCTCCTCCTCATCCGCCGATTGCTCCTCCTCCCTCCTCCCTCCTCCCGCTCCCCCTCCTCCTCCTTCAGTTCCTCCTCCTCCTCCTCATCCTCCTCCGATTCCTCCTCCAGCCTCGCCGTCTTGGGCAAGACGGTTTCCCCAGCCCTTTGTTACTCTGTATGCTCCCTCACTTCCCTGATCACCTCCATTCGCCTGGGCATCGTTACTGGATGGGCTGGTGGGGATATTTGTTTTGATTCGCGGCCCGCAAGGAAAAGTCCAGAGGGCGTAAGGACCGAGGCCGAGTCACAGCGCAAGATAATTAGCGCGAGAACGCGCGGAGTGCACATGCAAGGACCAATTAAGGCCACGGCCGGCGTAAGCCAGAGAGGAGTCGCCCTGACGGCGCCAACTCGCGAAGAAACAGACACAAGCAGCCAGAGGCGAGGCACGCACAGCCTGCACCGGTGCAGCAGCAGAGGCCAGACCAGCCGAATGCGGGCTGGTGGGGATACGCGAAGCGTCAAGAATTCATCTCAGGCGTGAACTCATTGAAAATCCATGTGCAGAGGCGGGCGGTTCCGCCCGTCCTGGCCAGGCAGCTCGCGCTCAAGGCTTCCTCCCACGACGACGAACGACGACGACCAACTCGAAGGCGCTCTTGCCTCGTCCGCGGGCGTCTCCCGCCCGCATCCTCCGCACGAGCTGGCGGCCTCTATAGAGGGGGCACCGCAGACGGGCGCTCTTGCCTCGTCATGAGACAATCACAACGGGAGGCTCCTCGCTGTTTTCAGCCTCTGCGGACCTTGACTCGGCCTCGGGACCGTCCAAATCATTAACGATGTGATCTCAGGATGACAATTCATCTCAGGCGTGAACTCATTGAAAATCCATCATAGGAGCACTAACATTAATTCGCTCATGATGAGAATTGATCTCAGGGGCCGACGCTATGCGACAATCATGTGACGTCGGGGGTCTGCGCCAGCGGGCGTCTCCTGCCCGCATTCGGGAGCCTCGAGACGGGGGTCACCTGCGAGCTGCCCCTCGGGGATGGGCCTTCGGGCGTTGAGAGAGCCCTTCGACGGGCACAAGCCCGCGGCGAGGCGTGGCGTGGACTGCATCGGGTGGGCGGCAGCGGTGGGGCAATGCGGCCGGGAACTTTTGGATAGCGCGTCGCCGCGCCGGCCCCTGCGATGAGCTATACCCTGCGAGCGGATAGCGCGTCGCTCCGCTCCGCGGGGCGGGAGGTTCGAAAAGGCTCGGGACGGTGTCGCCTCGGGACCGCGAAGTGGCTAGCGTGTCGCTCCAAAGCGCGGTGTGCCATAGCCGTCGGAGAAACACGCTAAGCCAAAGTCCGCAGCCGTATGCGTAAAAAGGAAGGTGGCCCTCAAGGGGACCTGAAAAGCCCCTGCAGGGGCCCCTGGGGCCCACAGAGGGGCGCGTAAGGGGCCCTGGCGTGCTTCTTTCTTCACCCCAGGGGCCTCGAGGAACAACCCATGACATAAACATAGACTTTTGGAGCTCCGCGCTGATTTCCTGGATCGGCGCTGGACCCCCTCCCTGGCGCGCGCAGCGCGCCAGGGGCGGCCCCGGAGGCGCCACCAGACGGCAACGCTGGGGCAATACATGTAGGGGGGAAGTGGCCCTGAAGGGGCCCTTTGGGCCTACAGGGGCCCATGGGGCCCCTCCGAGGGGCCCTTTGGGGCCCCGGGCGCGCTCCTTTCTTCACCCCGCGCTTCTTGCCCCGTGCTTTGCCGGCCGCCCGACCGACAGCCGACGCGCCTGGCCCCGGTGGACGCCAGACCCCAAGGTGGTCTGGTGCCAGAGCCACAGAGCCCTCGGGCGGGAGCCACGCGCAAGAGCGGGTGGCGGTGGCCTTCGTGCTGCCCCGCGGGGCGGGCAGGCCTCGGAGCATGGCAAAGACGCCCTTCCAGGCGGCTCGAGAAGGGCTCGAGCACCCCCCACGAGGCCGCTCAACACAATTCAGTGGGCGCGAGGGAGGTCCCAGAAGGGAGCCCAGAAGTGAGAAAAGAATGGGGACTCCCAGTCCAACCCTGTTGCTATCGCGACTTGCCCCTTCCATGCGCCTCCAAGAACGTCCAACATACTGCCCCAAATGGCTTCCGAATGGATGGCTTCCAAGACGGCTTCCAAATGGCTTCAAGATGGCCCAAGCCCGCTCCAAGACTCCCCAACAACGACACTAAGAGTTCCGAAGGTATGCCGAAATGGCCTCGAGCTGCCCCCGAGGGAGCCCCCAAAATAGCTCCACGGGAACCCCTAGCTGGCCCCCGAAGGGTCCTACAGTGCCCCACGGGGGCGAGAAGACACGTCCAGGCATTCGGGCACACATGTGCCTGGGCGATAGCTTCGAACACACACACACACATTTACACATTCACATTCACATTCACATTCACAGTCACAGTCACAGTCACAGTCACATTCATATTCACACGGACCTGGGAGATTTGCGTCTAAATTCCTCCTGGAGGCCCTCCGTAAAGCCCTCCTTGCGGGGTTACGATTCTACTTGGTGTCTCCTGCCCGTGCCTACGCCAGAACGGAATAACCAGCCGATCATGTGACCCTTGATCCCTCGGGGGGGGGGGCGGGGGGGCACTCCGAAGCCGCGCTGGTTGCACGTGGACCACCGAAGATCTGGCGCATCCCCGGGACCAGCTGTTCGTTCCGAGCAGCTTGTGGACGGTCCCAGGCCCGGCGAGGGTGCCCGGAAGCCGAACACTGCCGAAAGCCTCCCGCCGTGATCCTGTCTTGAGTTAGGTCGGGCATGTCCCCCCCCCCTGCAGGCAGATTCGGGAGGAAGAGAATCAAACATGGTCCAGAACGAAGACCCGAAAAGGTAGTCAAAACAAAGAGTCAACACTTGTAGAAGCTATGCATTTGAACACCCCCCTGGTGGAGGGGGACACGCCCGACGCGAGTCTCGGGGCGGGGAAGGGCTGGGGCAGGAGCGGAGCCCGCCTCCGCGCCGCCCGCGGGCGGGGACCGCCGGCCGACGAGCGGAACGGCCCCCCCCCCCCGCGCGCAGCCCCTCTCTCCGGGTGGGCCGGCAGCGGGGCGCGACGCTGTGGTGGCCCAGAAGACCCAACGGCACCACCCCACCCACGGCCCTCCGGGCCGTAGCGTAGTGTATACAGGGCAGCTACTCATGCATAGGATTTGTTTGAGAAGCATATCTGATGGTTTAGTGCGTGAATAACTCATGGGCAAAATATGCATGAACTCATCGTTGTTTTAATCCTAAATCCCTGCATTCTTAAAACATGATCCGCACGCGGAGCATGTATCAAAAACGGCACTGTACGGCCCCACGGGCCGTAGCGTACTGTATACCAGGACGTCTGGCGTGGGCTGTTGCATGGTATACGCTGCGGCCCCCGAGGGGCCGTAGCGAAGCATGGAGGGCCGGAGGTGGGGTGGTGTCGACTGTTTTCTGGCCGATGTGGGGTGCCCCGGACGTGCGACGAGAGGAGCTGCGATGGGCCTGTTTTCCACCATCAACACCACCACCACTAGAAAGGGGGGGGGGTCCTCCTCCTCCTCCTGCTCCTCCTCCTCCTCCTCCTCCTCCTCCTCCTCCTCCTCCTCCTCCTCCTCCTCCTTCCCCCCTTTAGCTTGTGGTGGTGGTGGTGGTGGAAAGCAGGCCCATCAGGCTGAGAGGACGAGCCGCGGGGCGGCACGCGGGCAGGGCACGACACCGGAAGCAAGAGCTCCAGGCGCGGGTGCCGGTGGGGCAGGGCGGGTCTTGACGCCCTGATGCCTCTTCCTCCTCCTCCACCTCCTCCTCCTCCTCTTCCTCCTTCTCCTCCTCCTCCTCCTCCTCCTCCTCCTCCTCCTCCACCTCTTTCTCCTCCTTCTCCTCCGAGATCCGACGTCCCGAAGATACTGAAATAGGGCCGACGCACAGCACGACTGGAGCCCCGAAGCCCGTCGTTCTGCGACATGTTGCAGACCGGATCGATCCGTGATAGTCTGGGGGCCCGAAGCCCGGCGAAAACGCCTGGCTCGAAACAAATGAGACGCCAGGATCTCAGGGATCATGACGTGGGGTGGGTTGCCAGGGGGCAGGACTGCATGATCATGACGACCCCCTAGAGACCTGATGTACAGCCATCGTGCTACCATCAGGAACGCTGAGTAAGGAACGAAAGGGCTTTTCTGGCCACGGCGAACCTCGGCCACACACAGGTACCCCGACCTAGATTTGAGGAACGGCCCGAAGACAAAAAATAAAGCCCCTCCTGAGCCCAAAGAGGCTCTTACTTCAACATCTTGCCTGGCCTGTCTTCTCCAATCCGACCCATTCCCCGGGGCCGGTTTTTCATCCCGAGCCGTTTTTTGACAGCCATGGGGCCCAGCGACGGCCCCCAGAGGCCGGAAACCGCGAAAACCTTCCATCGCTACTTTCCTTCGTGACTCGAGAGGGCAGGACTGCATGATCATGACGACCCCAACCCAGATTGAGGTCGGGCCTGTCCCCCTACAGGGGGACTATGGGCGAAAAATACAAACACGCAAACTCAAATACTTCAGAAGAGTCCAGACATCGTGCCCCGATCATGTCTTACTACTTTTGGATACTCCTCCTGTGGAGGGACGAGCCCGACTTACGCCTGGATGTCCAACGGCCACGGGCTGCACGGTGGCGCGTGTCGCCCCGGCGGCGCCGCAGGGCGCGCCGGCGGCCGCGCAAGGGCGGCCGGCGGCGCCCGTCACAGCTCGGGCAGGGCGGCGGCCCTCGAGAGGCAGGGCGCCAGCTCGGCGTCCCAGGTGGGCCTGCCAGCGACGGCGACGGCGACGGCGACGGCGACGGCAACATCGACGACGACGGCAACATCGACGACGACGGCAACATCGACGACGACGCCGACGCCGACGACGGCGACGACGGCGGCGGCGGCGGCGGCGATGTTGCCTGCCCTGGTCGTCGCTGTTCATCCAGTTCTCGAACCTCACCGGAGGGAACCCCAAGCACCTCCTCCTCCTCCGCCTCCTCCTCCCTCGCCTCCCTCGCCTCCCTCGCCTCCCTCGCCTCCCTCGACTCCCTCGACTCCCTCGCCTCCTCCTCCTCCTCCTTCTCCTCCTTCTCCTCCTCATTCACCTCCTCTTCCTTCTCCTCCTCCTCCTCCATCGCCGCCGCCTGCTCCTCACGATCTAGATTCCCTCACGATCTAGATTTCCTGTTCCCGAGCATCAGGGGAGGGAAAGGAACAACAACAAAACCAGACTATTGGCTCAAGCATCGCAAGCATAGCAACGCACACTTCCAGCATGCTTCCAGCACGGCTTCTCAGAGAGTCCAGGCTAACCTCTCAGATGCTTTTGCGTCGACCGCCAAACGAGGACCGTCGGCGTCTCCGGTGAAGGGGAAGCTTCCGAAGATGCAGCGCCTGAAAGAGTCCTTGAACTCTCAGACGCCACGAGTTTCCTCGCAGGGTGGCCCCACGCAGTCCCCGAGCATGGAAGTTCCTGAGGCAATTCACGCACTCCTGGAGAAAATGGGCAAGGTCACCTTGAAGTCAGACGTTGAGGACAGAAAGAAAAACCTGCAGGCTCAGATTCAACCCTCCGCGTCTGAGGCGGTTGACCCGCGGAAGTCTGACATTTATGATTTGGAGCAGTACACTTCCAAACTAGAGCAGGCACTTACAGCAACAACCGCGGCTAGCAAAGTCATCGCCGATCTACAGAGTGCCGTCAATCATTTTGACCCTGCTCTTCGTCGCATCGCTTTTGTGAATTGGCAACGTAACGGTACCGAGGATACCGGGACCCAGGTGGTGGAACAATTCTGCCGCTCTCATGTTCCACATGTTTGACCAACTGGATCGGGACATGAAGCCTGACGCCCAGATTCCAACAGCTACGTATCTGAAGCTTCATGGGTTGAATTCTGCAGCAATGACGTTGCGAAGTCCTGTCTTGGGGTGTTTGGGTCCCCCGGCATCAGGTGCGAGCACAGTGGCAAGCACATCGTAGTCAAGATGGCCCCCCCGAAAGTGCAGAAGCAGCTGGACTGGGCGATTCGCAAGGCCGACTCGCTCATTAAAGAGAGTCCGCAGTCTACCAGGAAAGAGGTGAAGATTTTGTGGAAGGTGGAGGGATCGAAGGAGAGACAGGTGGTCATCGACACCGTCGTTGCCATTCGTCAGGGCACAGATTACCCGTATGGCTCGCTCGAGGCAGAGTTTGAGCACCTAGTCATCGAATAGGGTGTTCCCGGGGGCGTTCATTAACACTTCCAACCGTATATAGCTAATTGATATCACCGGCATGCCCGCCTCTCTGAGGCAGATGAGCGGCCCAGCAGGCAGTGCCTCATCGTCGTCTTCGACGCCGCGGCCCAGGCTCTGCACAAGCTTATGCACATAGACTTCAGCAGTGGGAGCATAATTCAAGGCACTGTCGCCCTCCCGTCGAACTGCAATCTGCATTTCTCCTGTTCAACGTGAACCTCGGCGGTTGTCCTAGCCGCGTGGCTGAACTTAACCTCAGGCTTGCCTTGGCAGACCTCCCAGATATTGTAGCTGTGACCGAGAGTTGCCTGGACAACTTGGTTCTGAAATGGACTTGGAAAGCTATTGCCGGATTTTCCGTCTCGATCGGCGTGATGGGAGGAGGTGTAGGGTTGTGGCTGTGTTCTCCAAGTTGTGGTTTGCCCAAACTGTTGGTCACGTGGATGATTCGCTTGAGGACGAGCGTTCCTGGCACATCATTCACACAAGCCACGGTCCTCTATTGTTCTGTGTCTGGTACTGGCCACCTTGCCCCAGAGAGGTGGAGTCTATTCTAGAATTCGAACGGGAATGGAAGCAGCACCGGCATCTTGCACTTGGAACCCTCGTCGTAGGCAACATGGATGTGCTTTCAGTTTCTTGCTTGAAGCATTCGCACAGCAATTTCAGAGAAGGCCGCACCTTGCAAATGGCATGCTCGCGAATGGGCCTGGTGGAGAGAGTCAGGTAACCGACTCGTGGAGAATACTTGCGTGACTTGGTCCTGACAGACATCAACGCCGGGGTCAAGTGCAATGTGTTTCCCCAGATCGCCGACCACAGGGCTGTCTTGGCAAAAATGGAGCTTGCAGTACAGCATTCGGCTCCTATTGAAAAAAACTGTTGGGATTACAGACACGCGGATTGGAATGGACTTTGCGAATCTTTGGACGACACCTGCTGGAACGATTTGTTTACTGGGTGTGGACCGGTGAAGCTGCTAACGAATTCACACATACGACACTTGACGTTCCCATATCACAAATAATATGTCGTAAATCTTCCCATCCATGGCTGAACGAAAGGAGCCAGCAGCTGATCGAAACCAAAATTCGTGCATCGGGTACTCGTGATTTTGACCATGCCGCTAAAGCCTGCTCGCAGGGGTTATTGGAAGAGCGCTCTTAGTACGTACACGCCGGGTGAGGCATAAGATTGTGCTTTTGAGTTCTTCGACCAAGAGGTGGTGGACATTGTGCAACTCGTTGATGCTACGAGCTGGTCAGGTCTCTTCCACACTTCCTCTGCTTCGTCCCAACGGCAAGTGGGTTACAACAGCATAAGCCAAGGCCGACCTATTTCGCGCGAGTTGTTCTCCGAAGTAAGGTTTGCCAAAACCGTTCCAAACAAGTATTCTGCGATTCAGGCCCCTGAGGGTCTGAAGATGTCCGGCTTCCTGCCTGTACGCGAACGCTGGGAGAAAGCTGCTCTGAAAGGGCTCCGAGAAAACTGCCGCACTGGCCTTGATGGTGCGCCGGCAAGGATATTGAAGCGATGTTGGCGTCCGTTGTCCGATCCTCTGGGGATGTTGACCCAACTTGTCTTGTCATCTGGAACTTGGCCGTCTTGTTTTAAAATCCATTGGTTACTCCCGCTGCTCAAGCGCAGCGCCAAATCCAAACCCGCGAACTACAGGGGAATACACCTAGCATCCAACGTTTCAAAAGTTGTTGAACGAATTCTCGCTCGATTCATGCTTCCATTCTTCGAGGAGCCTGGCTCGCACGGAGACAACCAACTCTCGTACTGCAGGAGCAGAGGTTGCAGGGACGCTCTAGAGTTGAGCTGGTGGCTCGGGCCAGCGGGCTGCCCTCTGCAGCTCTGACGCTTCTGCAACCATCGAGTGGGTAAACGCCAGTCGCTTGGTGGAGAAAATAAAAGCACGCGGCGTTTGCGATGCCCTCTTGGGAGTCACCAGATCTTGGCTGGATTACCGGGTTGCCAAAGTCTGCGTCGATGGGCCATTCGCCGAGTACCTGGATATTCAGAATCAAGTATATCAAAGGACCGTGCTTGGACCTCCACTTTGGAACATCAAATATTATGGCGCTCGCGCAGCAATCAATGCCACCCGCTTTGTTCAGACCGTTTTCGCAGATCACCCCGACTGTTGGCGCACTTGCCCTGGTGTGTGTATGTCTGGCAATGCAGGCGTCAACCGCGAATCTGCCGCCTCCCAAGCAGCTCTCCTCAGGTGGGGGGCTGCCAACCAGGTCCTTGTCGAAGCGGACAAGGAAAGACTTCATATTTTGGACACTATCTCGCCAGACGGCGAAGCGTTCAAAATGCTCGGCGTGCTGTTCGATTCCATATTGACCATGTATTTGGCGGTCTCCCACTTCGTCGCAGAAGGCACCTGGAGGCTCCAGGCGCTACTTCGAACAAAGCTGTTTCACCCAACTGTTAGCTGGTTCATTTGTACAAGTGCCACGTGCTGTCGTACATTGAGGGCAACGCCGCGGCAGTTTACCACACTGCTGAAGCCACTCCACGCCATCTCGACGGACTGCGCGACACTTTTCTGGAAGGCGTGGGCCTGACTCCCAAGGAAGCACTACTTGAACACAATATGGAATCAATATTGGGGATGCGGCGTGACATTGCTATGCTTGGTCTTCTTTACAAGGTTGCTCATGGGAAAGCACCGCAATACATAGCTTCTCTATTTGAGCCGTTCAGAGGCCAACTTGGAAGGTACGGTATCTCATCGGATTCGCGTTTGCACAGCAAGGCGTTGCACGAACCTCTCCAACCCGGCCATCCTCGAATGCTTCATAGGTCAATATATGGCTTGACTCCTACATTTAACCGCTTGCCTGACATGGTGGTGCGCGCCAGGGCTGCTGAAGGCTTCCAAAATTTGCTGCAATGTCTGGCCAAGGATGCTGCCATGTCTGGTAGCCTCGAGCTGTCTCGAACTTCCCGCCCAGGCTGACGCCGCCGAGAGAATTCATGCATCGTGCGTTTTTGATCAATTGAGGGTTTGTCGTAGAAGAAGCCCAGGGACAAAAACAATATGCCTTCAACTCAGGGTTACTGCACTCAATCAGCTTTTTGCGTCGTTGCAGCGGCTCGCCGGCACCGCTTCGGCAAGTCCATTTGACAGGTCCTGCTGTTCAGGTAACGATTCAGCAGCGGGTGTTCTCGGAGTCTTTCACACGAAGAAAACCAGGTCTCCTTGCGTTGTAAAAAATCACGGTGTTTCGCTATGTTTGGCCTCCAGGGACCTTGCAAGGCCTCGGGACCGTCAAAACACAACTCGGCATGAACGGTCCCAGGGAACGTGTCTGGACCTCTGCAGGGGGTTGACGAAATGAAAAAATCATGATATCGGGGATCCTGGGAGGAGGAACAGGTTCAGATACCGGTGCCTCTGGCCCGCTTTCGCCGTGTTGACCCCGCTGGGAGGCCCTCGTCGCCGCGGCTGGACTCGCAGGGAGCTGTGGTCAGAAACCGCGCCTGGAGAGGTCCAGGGAATAGCGGTATTGGTACCTTTCGGGGATGGACAGACCCCCCTTTAGTAAAACGTGGTTTTGTGAAAACGACCTGAGGCCCAAACCTGGCGGGCGCAAGCCTAGAAAATAACGGCCGCGGCGCCCTCTCGAGAACCGGAAACGGACAATTCACTAATCGACGTGTCACTGTTAGGAGGTCTGTCCACCCCCCAACCTTTGGGTTTCCCCTGACACCTCCACCTTCCTCCGATCTTCTCCGGCTGCAGCACGCAGAACGGGTTCAGCACGCCCGCGACCCAGGCGAAGTTGCTCGGCGACAGCACGAGCAGCCTGGCCCTCACGAAGTTCGCCCAGGGGTCCATGAGGTCAGCGTCGTCCAGGTGCACGCCCACGCCCCGCTCCCTGTACCCATCGAACTCCGACGAATTCCAGAACGGCCAGGTGGAGCTCCAGATGTGCACGTCGGCAGTCGGCACATGACGGCGGACTGCGTCTATGATGCCGTAGTAGAATCTGTTCGGCATCGCGCGACCCTCCGACGCGCCCAGGTCACCCCTCCGGACGTGCATCGCGACTGAAAAGCGGCCTGGGGCAAAAGCAGACGGCCGCAGGAGCAACTGCTGCCTCAGGAGGTGGCGCAGGCGCTCGGTGAAGTAGGCCGACACCGGTGTGGCTGGGTCGTACGACCACTCTGCGTTGGAGGGGCAGAAGACATCGGCAGCGGGAGGGAACCTGTCCCGCTGCATCTCCAGCTCCCGGACGCTCTCGAACTTCCAGGTCCAGTTGGAGATGTAGAACATCTCCTGCCCCTCGCGCACGACCTGGGGGAAGAACAGCTCCTGCGACGCGTTCGGTCCGAAGAACCGGTCGACCAGCGTTCGGAAGTTGTGCCCCTGCTCCGTCACGAACCACCCGGGCCCTTTGGCCATGACGCCCCCGAAGTTCATCCGGTTCTTCTCTCTGGCGACGCGCCAGAGGGTGTGGGGGGGGCGACGGGAGCGGCACTGTCAGAATGCTGGCGCTGGCCGCTTCTTGAACTGGCTCGGAGCCTCCTCAGAAGGCCTCTTGACAGCGGGCGGACTTCGCTCCCGGCTCTCGCAGAAGTTGGGCACACGCCAACCTGGATCGGGGATCCGTGGATCTGGCGCGTGGACGCCTGATCCACGGGTCGGGGAAGGCACCCTCCGCAACACATGAAAGGCGGTGGCCGCCTCGTGTGGCGATAAAGCGCGCCGATTCCGCATGAAAGCGGGACCTCTCACTACAGTCGACGTACTACCAGAAGGAACGCCAAATAAGTATCAAAGGGGCTTTTCTGGCCACGGTGGGCCTAGGCCACAAGCAAATCCCGCGACATAAATCTAAGAAACGTTCCAAATCCCCGAGCCCCTTCCGAACCCAAGGCGGTCCTTATTTCAGCGTCTTGGCTGTGTTCTACGCGCCTTGCGCCACGTTTCCATGTTCAGTGCCTCCCCGTAACTCCGACGCCGTGATCTGTTGACAACGTGGACCCCCGGAGGTCTCCCCGGGATCCCCTGGACCGGTGTTTCGTCCCGGGTCGATGCTCCCGCAGTCCCGAATCAACAGAATGAGGGCCCCAAGTGTCCGCCCCCCCGTCCCCGTCGCGATTCTTGCACGGCAAGAGGCGGTGGTAGACGAAAGAATAACGGCATAAACATAAACTTTTGGCGCTCCGCGCGGATTTCTCGCATCGGCGCTGTACCCCCCCTCCCTGGCGCGCGGAGCGCGCCAGGGGCGGCGCCAGAGGCGCCGCCGGGGGGGCCCAGCGCGGATCCAAGAAATCCGCGCGGAGCGCCAAAAGTTTATGTTTACGCCGTTTTTTCTTCTTCGAGGTGGGGAGGCCACTCCCCGCTCCGAGCCTCCTCCTGCGCGCCGCCAATCTCTGCCACCGCCATGCCCTCGATGATGTTCCTCAGCCGGTGGCCCGCGCCGTCGATGTGCTCCACTGCGTAGACCCTCGGCGCGGAGGGTCCAGGATCGAATTTGCAAGTCGGACCAGCGAACGAAATGAGTCGCATTCATCCAACGTATTGAAAAATCAAGGCGGAGGTTTTTCGCCCTTGTCGGCCTCTATTACCGCCTGGCCCCTGGACCGTCAAAAAACGACTCAGGATGAAAAACCGGTGCCCGGGATTTGGTCGAGCCCTCCGGGCACCCCGGCATGGATAAAATCACGACGTCGGATCCCTGGGTTGGCAGAATATGGGTAACCATGTCGGAAGAAATCGAATCGGCGGGCATCGGCAGCCTTCATTGAGAAACCGAAGCCCAGATCAGAATCCGAAATCGAATCGATCGGAATCGAATCGGACCGAGTCGGCAGAGGAGCTGAAAGTAAGGAATCGAACTCTAATACACCGACGCTTTTTCCGGCCCCGCATTGGAACTCGCACAGGGAAGCGGATCCTGGTGTATACGGGATCCTGGTGTATACATGTTTCGTTGATTCCACGGGAAAACAAAGAAAACAATATACACCACACCATCTCGACGTCGCCCCGGACCATCAAAAAATCCTGGGATTGCAGAACAGCCCGCCACTGGTAACGTATGTGCTCCAGTTTCCGAGAGAGGCGCCCCGCCTCGGCGCGGAGGGCTCGTGCAGCACGCACACCGCCAGCTTGCAGGGCTGCTTGCCCGCCGCGGTGGTTGCCGTGGCCGTGGTGGCGGCTGCGGCCGACTCTCCTTCGGGGGAAAGCGATGACACAAATATGGTCCACAGAAGAAAATGAGGAGAAGGAGGAGGAGGAGGAGGCAGAGGAGGAGGAGGAGAAGGAGGAGGAGGAGGAGGAGGCAGAGGAGGAGGAGGAGGAGGAGGCTGAGAGATTGAGGAGGAGAGGCAGGAGGAGGCATGATGGGGAAATATGAGCACATCAGAGAAGACCCCAATCAAGGGATGGTTTGAATTGGGATCAATGAACAGATCGATGAGGAGATCGGCCGGGAACCCGGGAACCCGGAACCCGCCGAAATCGGACCGGAACCAATTGCCAGGAACCCGGGAACCTAGAACCGGGCACCCGGGAACCCAGCAGGCCACCAAGATCGACGGGAAACCTTCGCCAAATCTAAGACCCCTTCAGTGCACGCACTGATAGGAGAAAAAACTCGGAGGTCCGCGCGGATTTCTCGCATCGGCGCTGGACCCCCCTCCCTGGCGCGCGGAGCGCGCCAGGGGCGGCGCCGGAGGCACCTCTTGGGGGCTCCAGCGCCGATCCGAGGAATCCGCGCGGACTGCTGAGTTTTTGTGTTTCTGTCATTGTTTATGACCACCTACCAGACCACCCCAACCCAACCCGAAGACCCGAATTTGGGGTTGGGGGGGGTATGGCCTCCAAATATGTTTTTTCGATGTTCCCCGCCCCCCCCCACTGGAAATTGACGGCAAATTGAGGCCTTCGGGGTGGGTTGGGGTGGTTTGGTGGGCGGTGAATTTATCTCCAGCGGCACCCCTG